GTCATCCCTCACTATATTGTGGTTCACTTATTGTGGCTTCACTGTATTGTGGGTTTAAAAAAAATGCAGTACCCATATAGAATTTTACATGTTGTTAAAATTACGTAGGTTTAAGAATGTAGAAAGTGTTTAAGAGCATATGAAGTGTTTTTAAGAGTGTGGGAAAGGTTAATAAGAGTGGGAAAGGTTTATAGGAGTGTGGGAAGGGTTTATCAAGCCTTAAAATATATATAAATAATAAATATAACACTGCTACTTCACAGATTTTCACCTATCGCGGGGGTCTCTGGAATGTAACTCCCGCGACAGGTGAGGGATCACTTGTCGTTTCATATTTGTGGTAGTTGCATAGGATGAGTTCTGAAAAATTTAAATACCAACTTTGTGAAATCAGTACAAAGTACTATGTTTACAATAGAATAACAGATAAATACTCTTAAAATTGTACTATTTATCTTGCAGTTTGTATACCCAGACTTTTAAAATACATATGTGCATTATAGAAATGGGACTGTTTGCAGCCTCTCTCTTGTTAAATTATAGATAATATATGTTGTGTTGGTGGCTGCAGAGCATTCTGTATAAATAAATGTACCATCATTTGTTTAACCATTGCCCATTAGGTGGAGACTTAGGTTGTATCTAGGTTGGGCTATTATAAAAAGTTAGTACTGAACACTTTGTGCACGTCCTTACTATTTCTTTCATAATATTTAATTGGTAGATCCCAAGAAATAAAATGATAATGTGGTATCTTAATGACTCTAAGGAGTAGGGATTCCTCCTTAGCTCCACTAAACTAGGGACTCACTGGGGGCCTGGGACTCTGCAGGATTTTGTGGAAATGTACCTTTTTCTGCAGTGAGACTAACTTTAGATTCTCCAAGAAGACTGGGATCCGGTATAGATTAAGAGCTGGTATTGCAGCCGAGTTTTCCACCATGTACTGGTTTGTGGGGCCTCCCTAGGCCCGCTGAGTAAGTGAGGAAGACAGTATTTTGATTAAGGCGTGGGAAAGGTACAAGGAAGGTTACAGGAAAGTCCCTCAGTGAGTTTGCCTTGGGTGCCAGTGTTTAGCCGCAGCAGTAGGGGATGGCCTGTGGGATCCCTGGCCTTGGCCCTGCTTTGCCGACAGGGACGAACCCAAAGCACTTGTTTCTTCTCCAGGCTTTTCACAGTCTGCCATTTGTAGGCTCCCCTCCACTGATGAGGATGATGGAGAAAGCAGCTAGGAATGAGGGACACTGATCTTACTGAGTGTTTGTTTCCTGTGTTCAACATCACACAGGAAGTAGCAGAATCTGAATTCACGCCCAGGCAGTTTGCTTCCACAACCTGTCCTCCTAACTGCCATGCTATCTTCTCACACTCTGATCAAGTTGGGTGCATAGTCAAATGACTCTGTTGGCCAGGCCTTGGATTTCCCCGCTCTGGGAGTGTTCACCAGTCCCAGTCCCCTTCTCTAAGGCGGTCCTCCTCCTCCACTGTCAGAGATTCCAACTCTCCAAGGTGTTTCTTTTTTTTTTTTTTTTTGGTTTTTTTGGTTTTTCTCCGGTACCGGGAACCGAACTCACAACCTTGCACTTGCCAGGCAGGCGCTTTGCCGCTGAGCTAAATCCCCAGCCCCTCCAAGGTGTTTCTTTGTTCACCCCATGTGGAGCAGACTCTGGCTCCTTTTCTTCATTGTGTGTTGTTTGTAGTTCACGCATGATACTCATGTGTGACCTGTGATGGAGGCCATTGCAAGGGCTTGGGGTGGGAAGAACGTACTTTTGGAGTCAAATATTTGAGTTTGAACTCCAGCTTTATAGATCATTTGCCCCTTTAAGGGTCATTTTAGCTCTGCAGAAATAGCAGCACCTCAACAGAGTTGCTTGTAAAGATTAAATGAGATTAGTTAAAGTGTCTGGTGTCCCGCTCAGCAAATAGTAGGAGGTTGAGAGGTGATGCTATGATGATAGGGTAGACCTGGTATGGATGGCGTAGTGATCCAGGCTTTCAGATCAAATGGAGGGTTTCTAGCCCTGGAATCTGCCCTCCTCAGGGCCTCTTTCCTCTTTCCTTGTATAAAGCAGTTCCTCCTACCTCAAAGACATAGCTCCGCTTCACCCTCTCTGCATGTCCCCTGATGACCCAGGCTGGAGTGTGCTTACATCCTCTGTCTGCCCTCCTACAGCCCCCTCCCTGCGCCTTATCCCAGCACTGTCAGGCACTTGTCTTTTGGGCGCAGCGCCCTACTCTGGTGTGAACTCATTGAGGGCAGGGTAGCTCCGTGCTCACCTGTGGATCCTCAGCGTCTAACCTGGTCCCCTGGAGGACACTGAATGTTCCCTTCTAGTGTGAGAGGGAGAGGGAGCAACGTTGAGGTCATGTTGGAGATGCCAGGCTGCGTATTGGAACTGTGCTGTGTAAGACCAGTGGGTTTTGATCTGAGCATTGTTTTAGAAGAGTGTCTTACATGGCAGCAGAGTATAGGACGGGTCAATGTGGAGACGAGTGCGGAGGTAGGTCAACCAGACAAGTCTGTCTCGCACAATAATAAGTCTTCTCACTTATGTACATGTGACGGGGACAGCTAACTGGTTTTTATCTGAGAAGGTGAAATCCCCCCACTGCCACAAGCTACACAGCTTTTATGTGTAGCAACAGGATTCGCCTGGGAGATGGGAGCAGCACTTTCATGACCTGCATCCTAAGCCCGACAGATGGTACCCTGTCACCTGTATGAGGGCAGTTTCCACCGGGAAAGTCAATGCATCAGTTGTTATGATCTCTCTGTGAATCCCACAATAACCATTTGTCATTTAGTTTTAAAAGAACCCTGTAGTGACAGGGGAGCGGGTGGAATACAATTGCTGTTGAATTATTGCGAGTTCCCCATCGGGCCTTTTATTTGAAAAAGAGGAATCTTGTGCTGCTGGTGGCATCAGGGCCCTTCTTTCTGTGGTCATGGGTTTTATGAGGAATGGAGGAGAGGTCTTTGATGGCTTTAAACAGGTTTTATGGTCAGGAGACTTAGCATGTTTAATGACCAGCATAAGCCAAGGATACTGCCCTGTGAAGTTTCCTCCTGGAGAACAGGGGTACGTGTGGAATGGGTGTCACTGGGCTTCTGCCTGATAGTACATGGATAACGCTTAAGCTCTTTGGAGGGTGGGCTGGGCAGCTGGCCCATCCTCAGGGTCTGTGGGTCAGAATCTCACCATCCGCTGAGAACTGATGAGTAGACTTGGTGTAAGCGTGAGGTGAAAATTGCCGACTGAGTTGTTCTTTTAACAGAGAGTTGTCCCTGTCTGGGACTTTCATTCGTGGCCTTGTAGTCTGACCTGACCAGATGTGGATTTCTTCTGGAGGAGGAACGCAGAGGACAGAAACGTGGCAGCCTGGAGTGCATCCTCTGTGATGGAGGTCTGCCTGCCTCTCTGCCTTCTTCCAGGAAACAACACTGTCTCCATGCCATTTTGGCCAGGATGTGACTGAGAGATTAAAGGCATAGGTCTGTGATCACACTGGCTCTGAGGATACTTCTGCCTCCCTTACTGATCTGTACAGTGCCGTAGAGTGAGAATGAGTGTGGGTGGAGGGCTGACATGGTAAACCCCCTGGACTTCCACTTACCCACTGGTAAATGGGGAGGATGGCACTGTGTGCCTGGGATTGTTATGGCGCTGAAAGGAGAGAGTGGATATTAATAAACCACACTTGGCCTGGTGCCTGGTTACTTGGGCTCACTGAAGTCCCTCCTGGTGGTGCCAGTGCCCTGCAGTGGAAGGTGGCTGTCACGCCCTTGTTAGCTTATGCATGTGCTCTTGGTGCCCAGGTGACTGGCTGGTGGCTTGGAGAGGACCTACGAGTCAGTGCCAGCCACTCTGCCAGCTGTAGGCGGGAACCACAGACAGAAAGCAAACATGCAGCTCCTTTCCTACACTGTGGGTTTGAGAAATTTTCCTTTTCGGAGTAGTTTTAAGAATTGTATGTGTGGGTGCAGTTTAATTATAGTCTCATTTTTCAAGTGCAGCTATAGAAGTGTTTGTTTTTTTCTTTAGCCGTGCGTCAGTTTCTTCAAAGAGCTCATCCTGGTCTGCAATTTCCAGAGTTCTGAAGTATTTTTAAAATAAAGTTGTTAGTCTCTTTGAAATCTGGGCTCATGCTTCCTTTCAAACGGCAAATGATGACATGCAGGGATAGAGCAGAGTGTCTTTTGCCCAACAACACCCTGAGCTTTAGTTTATTTTCTTTTGTCATTTCTTTTAGTCATTTCCCCTGCTGTAGACAGTGTTCTTTTTTTTTTTTTTTCCAACTGCACTCAGATCCTCCTTTTCCTAGTAATTCTAGTTCTGAGAGTCTTTCCTAAGGATATAATTTAACGGCAGATAAAGCTGTATGTACAAAGATGTTTATTTCTTTTATTTATTAAAGTAAAATTTGGAGATGACCTAAATATCCTGTAGGGAACTGGCAAAAACTGGGACATGTGTGCCCACTGTGGGATATTAGTGTGGGGCGTTGAAAACTCATATTTCTAAAGCAAGTTTAGTAAAAAATGCTTACAATGACGTCCAAACTGAAAAAAATTAAGAAACTGCAATAGCCTTGCTGCCCAAATGCATGGAAGAAAGAAGGGGAAGCAGTCCAGTTACATGTCCGTAGGGGGTAGCAGGAAGAGACTGAACTTTTTCGATTCCGTTGTCCTTTTCCTACAATGAGCGTATATTCTGTTAGTATCAGAGTTTTAGAGAAGGAAAAGGAACTGCACCCAGCGATGCCTTTATGATTGCTTGTTTGATTCAGTGCATCACCTGGAACCAGTACCAGAGCAGTGATAAAGCCTGCCGTCTGAATTGTACTCCTGGTAATCCCACTTTCAGTATCTGGAATTGTTGTAAGGAGTGTTTAAACAAATGGAACAGTGCCCCTGCAAATGTGTGGGCAAGAAATGATTAGGGAACACTTTTTAAAAAAATACTTTATTTCTTTCTTGATGTTATTTTTGCTTTCAGGAAAACCAGCTGGAATGGAGCTGACTCTCCACAATGAGCCCATAGAGAGGTAAGTGTGCAGCAATTATTACGAAGACTATCTGGTTTTGGTTTCCTGCCAGATTTTCAAAAATATTCTGATTCCTTCCCATTTTCCGCTGCTTTTAAGGAAGGCGTAACCATCTGTAGGATTGACAGTGGTCTCACAAAGCCAGGCGTTCACACTGTGTGTCCATTCAGGTGACTCCTGGCGTTGGTTGGGTGGTTTGAACCAGATGACAAATTCCTTTTCTTGGCTCCTTCTTGCCCTGGCATTGGGCTCTTCTCAGTCTGGCGCATCTCCCTGCCCCTTCCCTGCTGCTCGCTCCCTTCCCTTTTCACAGGGGCCCCTGTGCTTCATCTTCTCTGGCTCTTTATTGTTCTGGCTGTGGCTGTGCCCAGACCTCCCTCCTCCTATGGTGTGAAAGTCCTTCCCAGAGTCCATTGGAGTGGAAATGAACATGGCTCTCCCCAGTGCCCTACTTTCCCACTGCGTCCCAGGGTCTGCTACTCTTGCTGAAGCACGGGCACCTAATTCCATTAAGCAGCCGTTGCATGGTGTTACACTACTTTCTGCATTCATCTCCCCACTCTTAGACTCCTCGAAGGAGGAAAGGAGCTAACTAGCACTAACTGGGTATCGGTATATGTCAGCTGCTGCCTTAGGTATTTCATATTTATTATTTCTCACCCTACAAGGTGAGCATTTTTATTTCCATTTAGGATTAGGAGCCTGTGGGTCAGAGCTGCACACTTGCCATTGAGAGGCAGAGCTAGGACTTAAAGTCGGGTCTGTCATACTCCAGTGCTTGTGCCCTTACTGTTATTCCGTGTAGTCTTTTGAGGGCAGTGACAGCATGTGATTGTATACTTTCTCAGCCTGCCTCCATGGCCAACTGAAAATGCCAGGATCTTGCCCCCCTCTACTTGCTAAAGGTTAGGAGAGCTATTACAGTACTGCTGCTGGGGTGCCTTCCTTTTCTTTAGGGATGTGGCCCTTTGGGGTGCTAGGGGCAAAATAAAGAAATAGACTTAATTTTGGATGAAGAATTTTTAAAAAATTTATTAGCATCCTAAAGGCTACCAGCAGCATTGCATTGAGCAGGCAGGGAGGTATCGCAGCTCCCTGGAGGAGGTTTTAATCAGGGTTTCTATGAATTTAAAAGAAATACCCCTTTTACTGCAGTCTCTCAAAGATCCCTCCCAGTTCAACCTACTATTTCTACCCTCATAGTGAAAGATCAGCCCCCACCACCAGGCTGTGGAGAGGGTAGGGAAGGGCTCCCCAGGTAAGTCCAGCCTTAACTGAACTAGAATGAGTGTAAGGGGCCCAGGGCAACTGGGAGTGTATCCATGCTGGAGATGAGGGACACACGGCCCCTTGCAGCAGTGAAGCCGGAGAGGCATGCTGTGCTGGGCCCATTGGGCTGGTTCTTAAATACTGTGTTAAAGAGTCCCACCACTGTTCTATAGGAGGAAGGGAGTTTTTGAAGGAGCAGAAGCCAGAGATAGACCCAATCTGATTGACCATTTGGAAGACGAGTTTTTTATTTTGGTGGTTCTGGGGATCAAATCCAGAGTGTTGCTCCTGCTAAGGCAGGTGCTGTACCACTGAACCACAGCCCTAGCCCCTGGAAGACTGCTAAGTTTGTTTAGAGAATGGATTGGAGGAAGACAGCGAACTTCTTTTAGCCCTCCTCAACCAATGTGTCTTCCCCTTTCTATTTCTGACAGATTTGTTTCTTTTCCTTCTCTTCTCCCTTTTCCAGCTGTAGGCTTAGCACTCAAGGGGTCACTCCTAAGCTAATTAAATGGGTGCCCTTGGCCCATTCTGCACTTTTGCAAGCAGCAGCAAGCCTATGCATCCATCATGCTGTCTGGGCGAAGTTGCATCTGGTGTTTACCTGTTAATGAATGCGTTGCAGCTTTGGAGTCCTTTGCTCTTGTCTGAGCTCATGAATAATGAGACCGTGGCCACTGACAAGAAGTAATAGGAAAAAGTGGGAGAGAAAAGAGCTTAAATTAAGGAGCTTATCTATAATGGAGATTCACGTGGGCTTTTCACAACATTCGGGTTGTTTTTCCTCATGGGTTAGGTGGTCCTCGGGAAACACAGGTTAATAACCACATGCTTGCTAGAGTGATGCTGCTGGGAACTGCTTAGGGACTGTGAGGCTTTGAGATTTCTAATTCCATAAGGCCCTTTCATGGCTTTGGGCCAGACTCCCACTTCTCCCTGGGAGCCTTGGAGTCAGATAGGCCTTGTTGAAATCTGAGTGCTGCATCTTAAGAGCTGAGATGGCTTTTGATGGGCTGCTTTATGATGAGCCTCAGTCTCTCCAACTCTAAAGGAGCATAGCACTCTCTTCCTCAGAGGGTGCCCGTTAGGACCCTGTAAGAACCAGAGTGTCTGGTCCAGAGTGTGCATCCGGTAAATGGGTGCAGCTGACCTGTGCCCTCTCTCAGGTTGCTCCCCTCTAGACCAGAGCCCGGGGCAGGCACAGTCATCTCACTTCACCATCTTTCTTGGCTCTGCACTAAAGTCCGTGGAGCTCTGTCAGTTTTTAGATGTCCATTGCTTAGCACTGTGAGGAAATGAGAGGGCTGACCAGGTTGCAAACATGGGATAGTTGCGCAGGGACCGTAACCGTGAGTACCCTGGCATTGCGGCCCTGGCTTGTGGGAAGTGACATATCTTTCAATCTCATCTGTTAAGGATGGAAGCAAACAACTTAACCTACCAACCTAGTCTGCTGGAGTCTTCTGAGCCTTCTGCCTCTCACATGTTGTCTGATGATGAAATGTCCGAGAAGTCCTCCCTCTCACAAGATCAGAAGCCTGACAGTGAGACTGAGAAGGTGGAAATGGCGATGAACCATTTTTCTCAAGGTAAGCTATGCCTTGGCAGGCATCGTAATATGACCCATTGTCAACTCTACCCTGCTGCCTTGCCTGGCTAAGCAGATGAAAGGAAAGCGGGAGGCCACAGCAGGCCAGAGGGTGACATCTCTATCACTGGAGAAAGCTGTGGTGGTACAAGTGTGGGTGGCTGGGGAGAAGCCCTTTTTTGTTTTTTAAATGATGCTCTTCTGGCAGGGACAGGCTGGAAAGCACTGCCATCGTGTGTCAGGGCAAGTTTGATTTGTTTCCCTTTGTTGCTCTCACCCTATGGCAGTGTTAGTTTGAAGACACTTCTGCTTTGATTTGTAGATATCCAGGAGCATTCAACCCCCTCTTCTGATTATTTGGTCTGAGTACAAGTTTGTGATTTCTCTTTTACTTTGTTTCTCTTAGTGTCACACTTGCCACATGGTTCAGGCCCTTTGTGTTAGTCCATTCAAGCTACTATAGCACAACACCACAGACTAGGTGGCTTACAAGCAGCAGACGTTTGTTTTTCAGTTTTGGATGTTGCAAGTCCCAGATCAAGACGCTAGGCAGCATGATTGGGTTCTGATGAGGGTCACCTTCCAGGTCAGAGACTGCTATCTCCTCATTGTCTCCTCACATGGAGGAAAGCAGGCAAGAGAGCTCTCTGGAATCTCTGTTACAAGGGCAGTGATCCATGATCACGGATCCTGTTCGCGAAGGTTCCATCCTCATGACCTAATCATCTCCCAGAGGCCACCTCCTGACTCTGTCACACTGGTGCAAAGGGCTTCAAGATTCTGACTTTGGAGACATGGACATTCAGATCATAATACCCTTGTGCTGCCTCTACCATGGACTGAGCTGGTAAAATCAGCATTCCCAGGCCCCTTCCCCGGTGCCCCCACCCTATCCTCTTTTCTGTACTTGGAGTCTTTGTTTGTTATTGTTTTGTTGACTGGATGGGGTTTTTTGTTTGTTTTTTGACTTTTTGGTCTTTTTGAGACAGGGTCTTGCTGTGTAGTTTTGGCTGGCCTTGAACTCACTATGTGGCCCAGCGAGCCCCTGAACTTACAGTAGTCGTCCTGCCTCATCCTCCTGAGCGCTGGGATTACAAGTGTGCACCACCATATCCGGCTGCCCTTGGAATCTTGATTCCCTCCTGTTAGGGCAAATGTAGGGCTTAGTGTTTATAACTCGGTATATTTCAAAGAGTCAGGGGATCAGATAGGCCAGATCAGATTGACCAGGGACCAGCAAACTATTCCTTATAAAGGCACAGATAGTAAATGTTCTAGACTCTGCAGGGTATGTGGCCTACATTGCTGTTGCCCAGCTCTGCGGTCACAGCACATAGGCTGCCATGGGCAGTCTACCTGGATAGCACAGCCATGTCCGGCAACACTTTATTTACAAAAAAGGTTTGGCCCTGGGCTGCAGTTTCCAGGCCGTCTGTAGGTGTAGACTCTGGACCTCCCCTAAGTCTCTGTTCTCGCCTTTTTCCCACAGGGTGCCAGCATGGCCTGCATAGCACAAAGCGGACACTGCCCCTGCCCTAAAGTCTTTGTTCACAATTGGCCACAGAGGTCATGGGTTTTAAAAAATTTGAAGCCTTTTGAAAGCAACAGAACCCCACTTTTTAGATGAAAATGCATAAGGAGGCCCCACGCAACATGTCATTAAGACCCAGTTGGAGCCCTTGCCCTCAGGGTGGCCTCTGCCACTCCGCTGGATACCCAGACGCACAGTGTAGACTTAGCTGGGACGTGAAGTGCACGTTGTTGGTGTGTTTCGGGTCACCCCACAGCCAGGCACCTGGACCACACTGCTTGGAATTTCTGGCTGCATCCCTCTGACTTCATTGTGGGTTTCTGATTCTTTGATTTCTCTCAGTCATGTCTGGCTCTAGTTCTGCCTTCTCTGAATTTAGGTCAGGCCACAAAACATTTCCCTGTCTTCCTGGTGCCACTACCTGCTGTGCTGTGTGAACCCAGCGTAGAGCTCGGTCCTTTTCCAGGAGCGCGCAGACCACTCCTCTGAGGCCTTGGAGTGGACTCAGTGGAGTGAGGGTTTGTGGAACAAGGAGGATGGAGCCTCCTTCAGAGCGGAACATGTGAGAGTCTTCTTCAAACCCCCTGGTACAGTGTCAGGTAGGGTCCTCTTCCTTTTGCCGGCCCTCTTTTTCTTTTTTCACCCTGTCTGCCTCGCTAGCCTTATTTTATTTCTGTCGAGGCGTTTAGTCATCTATGTCTGTTCCTCCAGGGACCTGTGACTTCGGCTCTCTGTGCCCGGAACGAGAGTGGGGCTCTGTACAGCCACCCCAGTGTTTCCACCATTACCTTTTTTTGGTTTGTTTCTCTTAGCCTTTTATTCTCTGCATCTGTTTTTCCTTTTGTCATATTTATAATCTGTGTAGGGAGATAATTGGTTTTTTTTTTCTCATTTAGCATCCTATCACGAGCTTCCTGACGTGTTTTAGATAGTGTCATTTGTAGTGGCTTTAGGATAGTCCCCTGAATGGCGGAACTGCAGTTTTCCTTATGTTCCCCTGGTGCTGAACATTAAAGCCATTTCCAGAATTCACAGTTGTAAACAGTGCTGCAGGGAGTATCTTTGAACATGAAGCTTTTCCCTTATTTGGGGTCATGTTCTTAAGATAGATTCTCTAAATTGGAGCTACGAGGTAAAAGATACACACTGTGTGTGTGTATGTGCGTGCGTGTGTGTGTGTGTGTGTGTGTGTGTGTGTGCGCATGCACACATGCAATGTGTGTGTGGTGATTGCTTCTTACAGGATTATGATTTTAAAGAGTGCATTTATCAGAAGGATTTACTGTAAGAAAGACAGGGATTTCTCTCCCTTTTTGTAAAGGCTAGTACAGTATTGTGTTTCCTTCCCCTCTCTATGTCTGCATAATTAATAAGCAGTGTCCAGTTCGCCTGGACACGAGTCCTCCAGCCCAAGTGATAGCTCCAGCTCCTGACGGCACACTCGGTGGAAGGTGGCTGTCTTGATGGCTACAGAGTGCTGATGCCCTCAAAGGCGGCGGGGTGTGATGCGTAAACCAGCAAGGGTGTTGCTGATTGACTCTGGCCGAGCCGCTGGGGGAAGACTTCAGGGCAGCGAAGCGGGGACGGGAGGTACAGTGCTGGGTGTGCCCAGGCCGGGTCGCAGGCAGGGCCTTCAGTGCCGTGCTGCAGTACACGCAGCAGATCTTCCACCCAGCGACTTGCCTCGCTTCTGGCATTTATAGGAGATAGCTGAAGGTCTGGGAATTAAGTCATCTCATAAACATTCAAATTCATGGCAAAATTACTATTTAATTAGGAAAAGATCTGTAACATTGTACTACTTTTAAATGAAAGCCATTTTGGAGGAATTAAAACTGGGTTATAACATTAGTATAATGTTTTAAAACAAACATTACGAAGACATACTGAGTATACCCTAATTGATGAATTAAAGGCATTAGTTTTGCCTTTGGATGCTTAATGTGATTATGTTTTAAACACTGACTCTAGAAAGCTACCTCTGGGTTGCGACTGTGCTTGCTTCTTTCTTTGTTACAGGGAACGGTGACAGAGGATGAAAAAGTAATATGTGCTCATTTTAGGAAATTCGGAAATTTGAAATTTGTATCTATCATTCAGAATTATATTAAAATGTAATATAGAATTTTGAAAAGTCTAAAATCTACCACCCTGATATTAACTGCTGTTAATATTTATGTGTATTTCCTTCTGTGTATTTGTCTTTCTTGCCTGTGTTAGTTTTTACATATTGTGTTGAATAACAGATTTTATATCTATTTTAAAATTTAACATAATAACATAATTTTCACATGGTATTGTATAGTTATCATAACATAATTTTAGTAGTTATGTAATACTGCATCATAATGGATAGACTACAGTTTAACAATTTGAGTTATTTTCATTTTTACTGTTACATGCAATGCTGAGAGGAACATTTTCATGCATTCTGGCAAATACTTGTCAGTATCTCTAGTGGTTTCTTTAAATAGAGTCCTAGAAGTAGAATTATTTGGTAAAAGACATTGGAAAAGAACTTTTCTAAGGCTAATGATATAAATAGCCCCAAAAGGTCATATCAATTTTTACTCAGGCTAACAGGATATGCTCTTGAGATTACCCTTCTTATTACTGTTCTTGCTGGCATTGTTTTGCTTTATTTTTAAGACTTGAATTAATAAGCGATAAACGGATAACATATTCCTTTCAAAAAATTAGTCTTGAAAATATCTGAATTCATTATGGAGGTAGTTTAATCAACTCTCAGGCAATTCAGGCAGACTTGAAAGTGATCTGTTAGTTTCACCATGAGGAAGATTTTAAATTAATATTTGATATTGGGAAGAATAAAAGGCTACATTAGAGTTAGCATTAAAATTGTATGGAATATAATTTTTCCGTGTGATGTGAAATAGCTTCCTCATGGAAGGCTGCGGAGAATCATTACAGAGCTGTGTCTGCAGGCTGTGGGAAGTAGCTTGGCCTCCCCCAGCCTGGGAAAGAATTGCCAGTTGCCAACTATCTTAATACATCCAGTGCTGTTTGGAATTTCAAGATCTCTGCATAATCTATAAATTATTCAATTTGTTGGGGGCTTCAGACTTTAAATTAAAAATGTCCTTCCTTCCTGTAGATTTGCTAATGGAACACATTCAGGAAATTCGAACTTTAAGAAAACGTTTAGAAGACTCTATTAAAACAAATGAGAAGCTACGGAAACAGCTAGAACGGCAAGGGTCTGAGTTCGATCAAGGTAAAGAATGACCTTCCCACAGGGCATTGCAAGCCTGTGAGTGCTTTATCATGACACCGTTGCCTCACTAAGCAGTCTGTGGCCAAGGCAGGTACTTGGTAAATGTTAGTTTCTCTATCATTCCCGAAGTCTGCCAGCCTCTGGCATCCTGAATTGTGGTTGGCTCCTCATTGGATTGTAAAGGCTGTAAAGATATAAATAGGTATTTTAGAATTGCACAAAGCCGTACTTTGCCTTTTGGTCAAAAATGGATTATAAAAGTATCCACATTTAAGCAGTCTGGTATATTTCTCTGGCCAGTCAAAAGGGCACCAGTATTCCTGCATGAATACAGTTACATTTATGTATGTATGTATGTATGTATGTACCAGGAATCAAACTCAGGACCTTGTGCTTGCCAGGCAGGCAGATACTGTGCCGCTGAGCTACATCCCTGGCCCCATAGTTATCTTTAAATGGCGTGATCTTGCATGAAAACTAAACATATTTTTCCTACAGGAAGACATTCACAGAGTTCAAAAATTAAAACCTTCATACTTTTACCTATTGAGGCTGCCCTTCTTTCCCTCCTCCCAGCTTTTGTTGGTTTTCTTCTGTATCCTTGGAGTGATTATTTTAAAAATGCAAATACAAAGATATCTTCTTATTCTCCCTCTCACTTGCCAAAGAGCTAGCAGACTCTGTATCCACTACTCTGGCATATGTTCCCTAGACAGTGTGTCTTGGACATCTATCCCTGGTGCTCCAGAGTCTCCTCATTCCGAGAAGGGTGGTCTGAGAGCAGCGTGGGGCACTGGGGAAGGCCTGGGTTTGTCTGGGTGTTAGGTGGGCCTAAGTGTGGATCCCAGTTCTTGTGCTTACTAGTTTTGCAACTGGCCATTTCACTCCACCCCTCCTGTTCTCAATTATTTCCCCAAACATGGTCATTTAGAGATTAAATGAAGCAGTGTTATGAATAGGGTCTTGTTCAGTGCCTCACCATTTATTAATAGTTGCTTTCAACATCTTTATCAGTTATATTTTGCAATTTTACTTTATATAACCCAAGCAGTTTAACATTGCAAAGCTTTGCAATGGGTGGAGACCCTAATGTCGTCCCATCTTTAACAATGAAATGCCTGAGTTCTGAAAAGATAGTTGGTACTTGATGGAGGCCCTGGAGTGCTTAGACCCCTAGTCCGCTTCTGATTCCCCTTTAGCCTACTGTCGCCATCAGTTTATACGGACATCTTTCCAAAGTATGGTGTGGGTGTCCGTGTGCAGGGTAAGCAGAGCAGTTTCTATCATTCCCTCTCCATCCCTCACTCCCACTCCTCCCCACCCCCAGCCTGTGTCCTCCCACTTGGCTCCCCAGGGAAACTGATTAATCTGAGTTATTAGTTGTATCAAACACAGGAAAGAAATATGTGCCTGGGCCCTTCACATTCACTCTTGGTAATGCCTGAATTGGATTCATTCTGTTTTACATTTTCCCTGGCAAATCCAATTACAGAATTATTTGGGGGCTCAAATGGCCACCGGCTACAATGGCGCAGGCAATTGCTCTGGAGAGTAATTCCCTCTGATGGGAAGGTTTACAAAAAGGCATTCATGAAGTATTTACGCTGGTGGGAAGACATGCTGTTCTCACCATGTTGTCATAGTCTCTGAAAAGACAAAGAAATAAAAGTGGCTCCGCCTCTCCCTACCATGAAGTGTTCATCTTGGGACTAGGTTTGAAAAAGGCCTGGCTCCCTATAATGTTGAGGTGGAATATTGTTACAAACTGCTGTCTCATGCATTTGAGCCTCCAGCTTGTCACCGGTCACCCGAGGTGTGGTGGTGTTCAGAGGAGGCCGGTCACTTAGCATCCAAGTGGTCCAGTCCTCGCCAGCTTGTACTTGTTGCTCTGGTGTAGACCGTGTCAGGATCTGTTTGACTTAATTATCCCTAGCTTTCGTCATTGTAGACATCCACAGAATTTTTCCTGCTCATACAGATGATTCTTGGGTCCTCTTTTGGCTCTGTCCCATCGTGAATGGTAATATTAATGCAAATGGTCATGGCAGGAACAATAGTAATGTGAGTAATTTTTATTGAGCTAGTGAAGACTTGGAGAAGTTATGTGACTACCCTGAGATCTTGTAGCTATACCAGAGCCATAGTTCAACCCTGGGGTCTCCAATAGAGAAGGGTAAAGGAAGATGGCAGAGAGAGACATTTATGAATTAAAAAATTGTTGACATTCTGATCAGCGAACCATTAGCAGGAGACAAAGGTAGTGCTATAGACTGAGAAGATGGAAGAGCTGTCATACTTTGTCTACAAGGGGCTTGAACATTGCAGGTTGGTTGTATAGTAGGATGCTTTCAGCTACAGATAACAAAATATGAGTAAAACAAGTGTAAGCAAGAGGGTTTATGTTTTCTTACATAACAAGAACTCTAGCGGCAAGGAGCACAAGGCGTTTTATGGCTTGGTGACACTGGGAATTTGGTTTGTGTCCATGATGACTGTAGTAATTATCAGTCTTCATCCTCTGTGGGAAGTGTCCAAAACATGGGGAGGCGAAGGCTTGGCTTCTTTCTGGCCTTCTGTTTTTATGGGGTGGAAAGTCTTTCCCTGAGGCCTGCAGCAGGCTTCCTCTTGGTCTTAGAGCCCCGGCGGGGAGGTAGGGAGCTGTCCAGAAGGAGGTGTCATCTAAGCTGGATTTAGGGGAAGCATGAGAGTTCGGGAGACAGACAAGAGCTTGGTGAGGTATTTATGGGTGAGAAAGTGACCTCTTACCCAGTTTGTCTGGCTTTAGACTCTAATCTTTACAGTATACCCATAGAGGCAGTGAACTTAAGCCAAGAGTTGAAAGAGCATTACTGTGACAGGTGAAGAGGGTAGGGGGCATTCCACACAAAGGGAGAGCTCATTCTGCAGAATTAGGAAGGGCTGTGACCATATGGGTGGTCATGGCCCAGGCACTGGGGCATGAGTGGAGATGGAGTGGGGTTTGCCATATTAGAGTTCACCAGAGAGAGGCCCAGATTCTAGACTGAGAAGTGTGGACCTTGCCTTTAGTTTGTCCCACTGTCTTTTGGGCTGTCACATGTTTTTGAGTAGATGGTAACACTAAAAGGAGTGTGTATAGGATGATAATCCCATTGGTAGAATAACTGGGAGGGAGGTTTGGAGCAAGGTGTTAAAGCCTGAACATTAGAGATTGAAGACTTGGCCAGGGTCCAAGGCATTTCGGAGGAAGAGTCGGTGTCAGGATGGTCTGATTGGGCAGTGGGACAGGGAGGAGTTTAGGGTAGCTTGGTTGGTCTCTGCTGCTGGTTTGCTTTAGGGATTTTGCTGATACCATCATCTGAGGCAGGGGGCAGAGGAGAGAGACAGGTTTGGAGGGGACTGAGTTAGCTCGGGGGCAAGGCCTTGTAGGTAGCTGGTAGTGGAGGTTGTGACTGTCTCCCACCACGTCACCCTAGCCTATGTCTCTGCTTTGTTCCTCTTCAGGGCAGGTAAGATATGGGAAGCTCCCTCTTGCCTCCTTTTTTAAGCCTACTCATTTCCCTTTGGGCTCTGGTAGAGTGATTTCCATTGCATGTTTCATTTCCTCATTGTTAAAATGGTTTTCTAGGAGGTTCCATCCTGTTTATGTGTGTTTTTGTAGGTTCTGCAAATATCTTTTCTTATGGTTCAGAGCTGCACAGTTCTTTGACATCAGAAATACATTTCCTGAGGAAGCAGAACCAGGAGCTCAACATGATGCTGGCGAAGGGGTCTCAAGGTAAGAATGAGGGGAGCCCGCTGCAGCGTGGGCCCCAGAGCCTCCATGTCAGGTAAATAACGCAGGTGGTGGAATCTGACCAAGCAGTGTTCGAACCTAGGGTTCGGTGACAGCTTTACCCCATTTAATTGTCACAACAGCCTTACGAGGCATTCTTGTTTTACAGCTGAGAAATCTGGGGTTCAGAGAGGTTAAGAAATATGTCAGAGGGCTGTTGTGACAATTAAGGGAGTAAAGCCCTCAGCAGCCTCTCTGCCAGGTTCTCTGCATTTACTTGTCATTCACCCCCACCCCCCTCCAGCCACCTCGCACTCACGTTGGATCACAGTGGAAAAGAGAAGGGCTGAGAATATATTACTGCCAGAGTCTCAGCCAGGGAAGTTTATCCAGGATTCCTTCCCAAAATCCCTTCTCTTAATTCCCTCTGTTTGGAGCTTAGCTCCTGAAGAGCTTTCACGTACAGTATCCTTCAGTACTTAAAATAATTCTTGCATGAGGTATTATTAGCCCTCTTTTCCAGGTCAGAACCTGAGGCCTAGGGAACTGCACTGCTGTGTAGTCACAGGACGAGAAGATGGTGGAGCTAGAACTTCAGCCAGCTTATACCACTTTCCCTAGAGGGTGTTGATGCTGATATGAGTTTAAGAGATAAAATTAGAGCCTCTGTGAGCAACATTCCCTACTCTCCTGTTCTGTGTCAGGACCTATGTAGAATGCTAACCAAAACTGGAAGAGTCCTGGTCCCTTCTCTCAGGAGGCTCATGGTCTGATGGGAGACACACCCAGACCACAGGGAGGGCGCATGAGGATTGGCCATGAGAAAGGCAGGTCAGGGAGCTGTAGGACACTGGAGAAGGCATCTTGATGCTGGAGAACTGGTCTCTAACAGCTGAGTCTAGAAGGATATGGAGGGATTAGCCAGGGCCTCTCAGGTTCAGAGGAGCCAAGGCCTTTTAAATGAGGCAGAAAGAGAGCAGAGGAGGCCTAGGGCCAGCTGTGGCTCATCAGGAAGGACGTGCATCTTGGAAGGTCTGCAGTCTTGGGGATGGTGTGGAGTCCCAGCTTGCACAGAAATTCTCTTGTCATTAGTGTGGAGTCAGAAACCTGGGCCTGAGTCTTGGCTGTGCTGCTTACTGGCTGTGTGACCACAGGGAGGTGTTAACCTTACCATCCTCAGTGTCCTCTCTGTACGATGAGGAGAATCAGTTCCTACCTCAGAAGTTTGCTGTGAGGATTAAGTAACAGGTATGCATGAAGGTCTTCATGCGATGCCTGTGGTTAGTGCTGGAACGTGGTGGCTGGTACCACCACCAGCTCAGCTCGTGGCTGAGCCTTCACCTCGACACTGTGTGTGTGTGTGTAAACAGGTATAGAGGGGTGAGAAACCTTCCTCAAGATCAAGGAGTCAGTGAACGCGGGGGCTGCACGTGAACCCTACCACTCTGCTCTGCTTCCAGCACCCTGCTCTAAGCCTCTTGGTCTCCTGTACCTCCTGGAATATTTTACTGCCCTGAGAGATGATGTCCTCAGGCACCTTCTGCTCAGCCCTGACCTGGCTGGAGACTTGGCGGCTTGTGGTCTCTCCCCCTGCACTGCCAGAGTCTGGGCCCTGTCTCCTGCCTCCGCCAGGAGTTTCTGCCCACTCTTTGCTCTGCGAAGCCAAAACTAACCAGGTTTGCAAGGCCCAATTATTTAATAGAAACTTAAACAGGCCTGTTTTATCCCAGTGGCGTTTAATCTACAGCTTTGATGTTGACAGATTTATCTGCCCCAAACGCATAAGATAATTGGAATGCCAAAACCATAAATGCCAGATTAAATCTCATTCTTTTTTGTATTCTTGGAGTGCTTGAGCTGAAGTGCTGTATCTGTGTAATAAGGTTGGAAAAAACAAATGGAGTGCCTTCTCACTGGTGCTTTTTGGTGTTTGTAGATAAACAGAAAGAGAATGAAAAATTGCGAGAGTCCATCTCCAGGAAGGCTGCGAGTCTGGAGCACCTTCAGCAAGAGTATGCCAGTGTGAAGGGGGAGAATGAGAGGCTGCAGAAGGAAGTCAGTGAGAGGCAGAGACACAACCAGCAGCTGCTCCAGGAGGTCCACAGCGGCCGCCAGGAGCTGAGCAGGTGGGGCCCGACCTGCTTGCCCCTGTTGCCTGCCGCCAAGTCCAGGAAACACTGTAGCTCTGCCCTAGTGCCAAGAGAAGGCAGAAACACTCATGCCTTATGTGTGGTAGGCAGAAAGGAGGCGGGGGAAGATCATCTAAAGAGAGGAGAGGGTGGGGTGCGGCTTTATGTGTCTTTCCTAGGGGTGCTGGTGGGGAGTGCTGTAGCCCTCACGAGTGCCGCGCTCCTTCAGAGAGACTGTCCTCACTCTCGCTGCCCCGGGTGTGCAGTGACACAGCAAGGCCACTGTGTTTGCAGACTGTGCTGGGCTTAGGTCTGGGTTCTTCTCCAGAGCCAGGTGCTCCTGGGTAAGGGATGGAACTTTGGAGCTTTGCTCCCCATGTCTCTGAGTGGAGGGTCAGGGAGTACCTACCTTTTAGGTGTCTGTGGAAGATAACATGAGAGGGCCAGGCATGAGGGCACTTGGGAAATAGTGGCTGTGTGGAGTTTTTCACTCTGCTAGTCCCGTTCTGTCCACACTTCTGGCCGAGGTGGCTCAGGCCTGCCCTGTGGGGTCTGAGTGAGTTGCCCTGAGGTAGAATTAACTGCTCCTCTCGCACCTGGGGCCATTTCAGGGTGCAGGAGGAGGTGAAGTTGAAACAGCAGCTGCTATCACAGAATGACAAGCTGCTGCAGTCCCTCCGAGTCGAGCTGAAGGTGTATGAGAAGCTGGATGCGGAGCACACCCGGCGACAACAAGGTACCGGGTGCTTTATGTGAAGTCCTCATGTCTGGGGCTGTGAGCTTTCCCGGAGTGCTGGAGGCAGGAGTGAGAGGGCAGGGCCTCCATCCTCTTTCCTGAAGGGCTGTCAGCAAACCCCACACTACCCTTGGGGTTGATGAGGTATGTCTTAAAGCTAGCTCTTTGGCCCACTCTCTTTTTTTGGTGTGCTAGGGGTCAAACCCAGTTCCCTGCATGTGCTTGGCAAGTACTCTGCCACTGAGCTGCTCTCTACCCCAACCCTTGGCTCACTCCTCCTAAGCAGCAGTGGGAAATGCTAGAGGACGAGGCTCGGGGCAGGACAGCTATGGTCTGTGGTCTCACTCTGTGGGTCCTGGCTGTGCAGGCTTTAGCACATTGCTTCACCTTTGGGCCTGTTCCTGCCTCTATAAACATGTCTGTTAACATCCACCATGTGGAGTTGCTGTAAAAGTTGAATGAGGTCATTTATTAGTATCCTATGCCAGTACCTGGCATATAGTTGGCATTCAAGAGATAACGTTCATCATAATTTTCCTGATAGTATATATTTCTCTTTGCCCACTCATCCAGCGAATATTTATGGAGCACCTCCCCTGTACTGGACATTGCTCTGGGATGGTGGTTGGCCCTGGTCCTCTATGTTTTCAGAGAGATGCCAGATCGCAGTGGCTCAACTCTAAGGTCTAATGTTTCCGAATCAATTTTGAGGTGTAGTGAGGTTTTATTTTTTTTTTTAAACTAATTTTCCAGATGGTTTCTCTCTATTGAAAGTTTATCTAGAAAGGGGTCATGTCACAGCTTTCATTTCTCCTCAAGTTGCTTCTCTTATTCTTGCTGTTGTGCCTTTTTAATATACTGTGGCTCTTAAAATCATCCCCTTTCATTCTATAATTCCAGCCCAAATAGATTTTATTACTACTAGACATAATTTCAGGGTTTGGTGTGCAATTTGCTAGGCTTTTATGGCCAGAAGTGAAAATTAATTTCCAGCTCTTATTTAGCCTGTGGAATAGCAGCAATTAAGTCAGCCAATATTTTTGTTTTTAAAGTCGAGTTGTTATTTTAAATTGTACCTAGTTCTTAGGAAAGAGGAGGTGGGTGGCAATGGTGGTTTAAAAACACCATTGAGTTCCTTTGATGGCTGTCCCATTGCCTGTGGAAGATGCCACAGCCTCCCTTTGCGTACATCCACAGAGGCCAGAGCAGAGGCATTGGGAGCAGGCTGGAAGGGGCAGGATCCTGGCAGTGACCTGCACGGCCTCCTGACAGAGATCCAGGCTTTGCGGGCACAGCTGGAAAGGAGTATCGAGACCAACAACACCCTGCGGAGCAAGCTGGAGGAGCAGCTGGCACAGGGGGCCAAGAAGGCCCAGGAAGGAGCCCTCGCTCTGTCTGCCCAAACCCTGTCCGTCCCCGAGCAGTCCCTTCGTCTAGACAAATACGGTATGTCTTCTGCCTCTCCACACTTTCTGAAAATTCAGCTCTGTGCATGTGTGTGTGATGTGCAAGCTTCTAAATGATGCTTCTGTCCCTTGGAGGTGTCTTTTCATTGACAGCAGACATGCTGCACCACAGGAGACAGGGCGCCTGACCACTAATGAGTTGTCAGACTGGCATAATCTGTCTGGGGAGGTTGGTTTTCTAGGTGTAGAATTTGGACTTCCAGCCTCCCTTGTTGCCTCTGGTCTTGCTTACCTTCATTCATTTAGTCCTGCCCACATCACTGTCATTCGGAGGCTCAAAAGCCTTTTCAGTGTCCTTATTGCTTTTAAAATAGAACCTGCGCCTCTTACTCTGGCTTTTAGCATCATGCAGGATCTAGAAAGCTACTCTGTGGGAACAGTGGGTCTGTTTTGCCTTTGCTTGCAGGCTTTTCTAACCCTGAGGAGGCTGTGGAGGGAGCAGAAGGAGGATGACACACATCTGCCATTCACCCGATAGGGCCTAGAAGAAACCATCAAATGGTCAGGCTCAGCGCAGTTGGCCAGACCATTCTCTTTGCTCTGTGGATGAAGGAATCAAATCTTAGCGAATGGATGGATGGGGCTCCCCCAAAGTGACACTGCAGGCAGGTGACAGAGCTAGAGCTAGGCACCATTTCAGCTCCTAATCCAGCCCTCTTTCTGATCCCTGCCTGACCTCTGAAGCCTCAGTGTCTTAGGGATTGTCATCCTCATGCCCACAGTGTGGAGGGTATGCGTATGCTGCGGGAAAGAGGGCGGCAAAATGCTTGATAAACAGTGCTGTACAAAATTTGTACTTTCCTTTACTTGGATTGGGGATTAAGTCTGTTGTCTCTGATTAATTAATTTGCAGCACCAGGGATCAAACCCAGGGACTTGCACATGCTAGACAAGCACTCTACTGCTGAGTTACATCCCCAGCCCCTACTGCTTTTAATTTAAAAACACAAATCTCTTAAGCAGCACCCAGTCAGTCTGCTTTGCAACTTGCAGTGCTTGGTTCCTTGATTTCTCTTTGATGAAGATTTTAAAATTTTTATCAACAAAAGATGATGCAGCTATGTAAAAAAACAGTAAAGGGAAAAAAACCTTCATTATTCTATACAATGATCATATATTTTTTACCTTTGTGTATGTCTCTTCTTTCATTAATTAAAAACAGCTTGAGTTTATATTGGCCAGCCTGGTTGTGGGGCCGTTCTGTGTCCTTTGTTTGGTTTTACCCAATTTATCATGCCATGGACATTCTCTCTGCTTTTACATGGGCTTCCTAATGATTGTTTGCAGTTTATTGCCAGTTACCAAATGGCTACCCTGTTGATTGGTAAAGTGATCTCTGATTTGGGCTTTTAATGAACATCGATGTTAATGTGCTTTTTTCTGGTAAGCAGTGTTGTTAGGATAAAACCTGCCTTCTAAACAGTCGCTACATCAGCAGTGTTCAGAAGGGGCATCTTTTCCATGACTTCATCAGCTTATGCCTTAAAATACAGGTCACCCCCAGCCCTTTTTAGGGCTTAGAGGAGAATGTGCTATCAGATGTTGGGGGCGGCTAGTGGAGATAGAAGCAGGGAGAACCATGCCTTGCTCACGTACCTAGAGGGAAAGTTGGGCTAGCTGCAATGAGGAGCCATCGAGTTGCCTTTTCCTGCTTCCAGAACTTACCCAGAGGCAGCCGCAGTGTGCTGGCTATGGGCATCCCGGTGTGTGCTCAGAGCCCACAGCAGAGGGCCTGTTCTGCACCTTGTGTCTAGCTCAGTCGTACATGATGGACAACAGCATGTCTTTCTTTGTGAGGGACGTTTTAGGGCCGTACTTAAGTGCAGCTGTTTACAGTTATATTTTAAAGGCTTCTCTCTTTGGTTGAAAGTGATTCGTCTCAGAAGGTGGCTCCAGGGTGCCAACCTCTTGGCTCCTTGGCCCCAGGAGACGCAGCACCCCCTTGGCAGACACTGAGTACTGTCAGCCTGTTCCTGAGAGGGGTGTGGATGGAAGCTTGGGTAGAGCATCTTAAGACCTGGACACTATTCTTGCTGTGCCACAGATGTGCTCAGTTAGGCTGGGTAGACTGCTTCCTGTCCCTGCCTCTTGGGCTCCCTCCCTGAAATCTGAATTACGGTGTCATTTTGCCCACTGCATTATTGAGAATGCAGTAGCTTTTCAGATGTGAATGCGCTTGACAAGGTTTAGAGCGTTGCACAGGCCAGCTAGACAGTGCCTAGTTGATTTTATCCCCTTATAGTGTTTCACCTGCGTCCCCCAGGTCCTGCTGTGGGTCAGTTTCCTCTCTTGCTCAGGTTACTACAGCAGTCCCCACATGCGTTCTTCTGGTCCAGACACAGATCTCAGTAAACACAACACCTCTGAGTGGGTCCCACAGTCCTTGTGATCTGATCTTGCACCCTTCTGTGTCTTTCCCTGGTACCTGGGCTTTGGCCAGAGGAGCTGCTTTCTCCCTGAGTGATGATCCACACCTCTGTGCCCTTGCACCTGGTCCTCTCTCTGCCTCGCATTTCTTGCCCCCCTTCCCTTGGGTCATCACAGACGGTACTGTAGGTGTTAGCCTTCAGGAAGCTGCATTGGAGCCAGCACCTCTCTCACCTGATGAGGCCAAGAGCCTACAGCTTCTGCACTTCCCTCTGTTTACCTGTCGGGTGGAGAGTTCTTCCAGGGAAGACACTGGGCCTGGTTATTCTACCTCTGGTGTATTGCACAGCACCGGGCAGGACTGATGCCCAGGGAAGATTTGAATCAGTGCCTGTGTGTCTGAATAAATGAATGTATGTGTTTGTGAGATTCTTTACCATAGCCTCATTCTGCTTTTTCTGTATAATGATAGTGAAACTAACAGTTTGTTTCCTTCTCTTGCTTTGCATTTTGTAGATGGTGACAAATATTCCATGGCAAATGATAATTCGTTTGATCTGTTTGATTCTACCCAGCCAGTAACACCAAATTCAGGTACAGAGCTGAAGCCTGGGTCACTGTGGTGGTATTAGTTATGGCAGTAGAACTGTTTAAATGGAAGCAAAGGGGTTTCCTGGTCCCACCTAAGTATTTGGCAGGGATTTTGGATTCAGAGTCTCAGCATCTCTGGCAGATGGTCTCCTCTTCCAAGGCAGCTAGTCCTTCTCTAGGTGTGACCAACCTTGGCAACTTCATTGGGTTTCTGTTGCCTTCAAGTGTGGCCACCTTCATGTGGCTTTCAAGGATTCAGCCCAAGGGGACCTTCCCAGCCTTCTCCTCCCTGGGGTAGACACAGATGGGTCACCATCCTGCAGACAGGCTGCACTTTGCCTTTGCTGTGACTTTCAGTCCTGCTCTCAGCCGGTGGTAACCCTGCTACTCGACTCATCCTGAATGCAGGCTTCTCTGTGAAAAGACTTTCTTGCTGTCCCCAGTCAGAATTAGTTATCCAAACTTCTAGGGGTGGAAGGCAAATGACAACAGGCTTTTACCTCTGCCTAGGATAATTCTGGCTCTCTATTCAGTCCAACCCAGTTGATGATGCTTCTGGGAAGCCTTCCCAGCCTTTCCCTCCCTGCTCGGGGGACCATTTCTCTCTGGGATCTCTCATCACCACTATGCTGTGGCTCCCTCAGCGTCAGTGTTCCAATTGGACCCTGAGCTGCTGCACTGTGGACCTGCTTGGTGCATCTCATGCATCTGGGGTCTTCTGCAGAGTGGGTGGTCAATAAGCCTTGGGTGAATTGACTTGAGCCTCTGCTCTCCTACAAGATGAATAATGTGCCTGGTATGGAGTGGTGTAGACTGAGGCCCAGGAGCTAGGCTGTTCCCCTCTGGGCTTGTGCTGGGTAGCACATAGGCACCAGGGCCTCCCTTGACCCTCTGCTGGCTTCAGCATTGTAAGCTCTGTGAACACAGGGTGCTGCTTCTAAATTGATCTGATGTTTCACCTCTTGTTTTGCAGTTTCAGAATTTCCTCCATTCTCTGAAAATGATGTGGACTCCCTTTCCTGTGATAGTAACAGCTTGGCAACCACTACCTCGTGCATGTCCCACTTGGTCACTGGACACCGCCTATGGGCCAGCAAGAGTGGCCACCATGTCCTAGGCCTGTTTACGGACTATGATGCCCTGTGGAAGCAGATCTGCCAGGTCCAGAGGCTCCTTGCTGAGATGGACCCTCAAACCCATGAGGCTCCCAGCCCAAGTCAAGAGCTGGGGACAAAGGTAACTTGACCACAAAAGCCTGGGAGATAGATGCTTTACAGGGGCAGTAAGTGGGAGGGCCTGGCTGAGAGACAAATTGTACATTTGTCCTGAATAAAGCTTCAAAACAGGGGCCAGAAATGTGGTCCAGAATAGCTCAGAGGTCAGTTCCAGTATGGGGAAATGTTTGTTGTTGGTTGTGGGAGAACTGTATGGTGCAGTTTGTACCATGTTACTGTGGCCACTCCACAGGGATCTACAGTACTGCTCCTATGGGTGCCTCTGTCTCTCTGGTCTCTCATCTGACCTTCTGTGCATTTGTCCTTCTGTGTGTCTGGCCATTCATCTGTCCAGTCCACCTATCCACTGCCCAGCCGGGCTGTGTGCTCGTGCACTGTGGCTACTATGAAAAAGTTGGAGGCCCTGATTTTCATGAAGCGGATCACACCACACTGTGACATACCATACCACATCACCTATACTGCACCACGCTGCATCACCTCACGCGTACCATACCACACCATACCATATTAACCACACTTACCACACCACACCACGCCTCACCACACCATACTGTACCACATCTATCCATATTGTACACATCCACCCGTATTGTACTATAATTTCCACAACTGCCTTGGGATGAGCTTGCTCGTGAGAAATATCCTACGTCACTTCAAGATCAGTGGTAGCTCCATCTCTTTTAACAGAGGAGCTTTTCGTATGATAATTTTACTTCTTGCTCAGAACAAGCCGATGAACTGGGTGATGTGTTCTCACTTAGAGATGCTGAGAAATGACTTGGAGCAGTCACATTCGAACTCGGTTCTCTGTCCTCCGAGGCTCTCTCTGTATGTTGTGACACTGCTTCCAGCTCACAGGTCAGTGCTGAGCACCTGCCTCACCTGTGCAGAAGCCGCCACTTCTCCCTGGGCAGTGATTCCAAGGGACTCGGGTTTCTGGTCTGGCTTCTGCTTGCCTCCTCTGTCATCTCTCCTGTCCCCTATGTGTCCTGCTATGAACAGGCCGGGCTGTGTGCTGCTGAGCGCACTTGCTATCCGTGTCCGGTCTGCCTGCTGCCTGTGCCCCCTGGCTTGTGATCTCCTTCAGACTGTTTTACCTCCCCCTTTCCCTGCCCGTCCCACTGGAATCTTCCTCCTCTAGGTTTCCTTTTACTGAGGACCCATGCACTTCATGTACGTTTTGTTCACTTCCTCCGAGGCTTGGGTCACATCCACTGCCAAGCCAGACTGGACCGGACCTCTGACTTCCATGAGTCACAGGTTGTAGTCCGTCTTCTCAGGTCTTTTTACTGAGGATACTTGAGACCCCTACACTCCAATACATGTTTTAACTTTTTGTTTTGTTTTACTATATTATAAAAAGCAATTTTGCATTTCATATTCCATCGGATAAGCTTCAGTAAAGCAGGGGTAGTGTCTATTCTGCTCAATATTGTTTAGCTACTACCTAGCCTAGGTGCCAAGAGTAGGTGCTTGGTAAGTATTTGTTAAGTTAATAAATACTAATAAGGCCTTGTTCTTTTTTGGGTAAAATCTTTATTATATGAAAGCTAGAAATTGTATAAAAGTTTAAAAATACAATGTATTAAAATATCTCTTAGAGGTCAGCACTTAAAATTTTGATATATATACGTTTAGGACATTCATAAACTTTACCAAACCTACTCAGAAGTACACAGATTCATATATTTGAACTGACAAGTGTTAGAACTTTCCCTGTCTCATTCAGTGTTTTTGGAGCACTTGACTTTGAGTAGCTGCTAGTAAGCCTACATGTGGGTGTACCATCATTCCCCATGCTTTCCCAGTTTGTTGGACGCATAAACTATAATGAACCTCCCTATACATAAATCTCTGATCATATATATATATATATAT